GTCCGGCCCGGCCAGACCAGCTGCTGGCACCGCCGCGGCTTCACTGTGCCCGAGCCAAGCCCGAAGGTGCCAACGCGGGGGACGGTCTTGGCTGCCCCTTGCCAGCTGGCAACATCACCATTGTCCCGTGTCTGGCGGCTGCCAAGCCTGCCACCAGCCCCGTGCCGCGCCCCCGTGCCGTTTCCTCTGTTTTGAAATCTTTAGAAGAAAAGTGGGGCTGGATTTAGTTGAAACTCTCCTCTGATAAGTCCCGGAGTAAAAGTTATCGAAGCCCACGCGTAATGCTGCAGCCATTTTACTGAGCTGTGAGCTCCTCAAGCACAAGACCATGTTTCGTTCCGCTGTATATCCCAGTGCTTAACACCGTGGCCAACACTTATTAGGCTCCGATAAACATTTGCTGAAATTGAATTCCTGAACCCACCCAGGGAAAGTAGCTTGAGCCTTTCTGCTTCCTGCCTCCCACTTTCCACCCGGTGTCCTGAAACACCACCAGTTGTTTGGTTATTATTGGGATTCAGTGAGGCCTTCTTAATACCAAATTTCCTTTCTAACCAGAGAAGACTTCATCCGTCCGGGTCTCCATCCTATCCAAAAAGTCCATCCCTCTAACACCTGCCTCGTTGCTGCCCGGCAAGGGACTTGAGTTAAGCCTATTCATTTGCCACTCCAAACTGTACTCTGCTTGCTGCAATTTCGTAGCTGTTGGCTCGACCTTAGCAAAACCCTTTCAACAGCTTCCCTAGTGACCCCCGCAAAAAAAAAAAAAAAAAAAAAAAAAGTTGCTTAGAATTTTTAAAAATCACAGAACTAGATTTTAGGATTTCCCCTTTCAGTTGTTGCTGACTATGCCACTGAAGTGAAACAAGAAAAAGGAAGGCCATAAAGAAGGTAATATTTTATTTTCTGGCATAATCATGTTGCAGTGTGGAAAAGGACTACTGCACGATAATATACTGTACTCTGAAGGAAACTTCAGCATGACTTAAATGTTTATTGTTAAAACCTGGATTTCAGTTAGAACAGGAGTGAATTCCCTACGCCCATCTCAAATAATCTATCTTCGTGTAACGTTTTCAAATCATCTTACTGTTTCTAAAATGTTTCTCTCCAGTTAGTGAAACATCTTATTTTACTTCAGAGAGAATGGGCAAATGAATAATATTAGGAATCAAGGAGTGTATTTATCAAATATTTATCAAGGTGTTTTTACTCAAGATGATTTTACCTACTATTTTTTTTTTAACTAATACTTTTCTGGCTCCAAAAGCATAATTAAAACTCTACTGGGGTGGGGCGGGGGGGGTTAGCGTATAATTCAAGCAGTAGAGCAAGCATGCACGAGTTCCTGGGTTCAATTCCCATACCTCCCCTAAAAATAAATAAATAAATAAACAAACAAACCTAATTATCACCACCTCTCACCAAAAAAACTACTTGGGGAAGAGAATGAAGGTAAAATACATTATCTGGAGGAGGTTGATTTCCTTATTTTAGTGTGGGTCAATAGAGTTCACCGATCACAGATTCTTGGTATAATAGGTGACAATTCTAAGAGGAGTCACCCTTTTCCTTCAGAGCTGTCTCTTCACCTTCTGCGGTTCACTTAATGGCCCAGGGAAGGCTCATCTTAGGATTCTGGCTGCCTTGCTTAGACCCATCTGCAACCCTTCCCTGCGTGGCTCCTGTACCCGTGGCTTCCTGGGGGCCTGTAAGCAGACCCAATTCCCACACACCTTTGTACCTCAGAGAGGGGGAAATAATGAGAAAGAAGTAAGTAGAAGAGAAGATAATTGGAACTGAGGTCCAGAAAGGAAGGACCCTGGTGCAGCCTGGCCTCTCCTCCAGCTCCCTGGACACCTAAGAGATTTTCCAAGGTCTGCTTACACTTAACATACTGTAAAGCTGACACATACAAAGTGGAGTTACCCACAGAAAATTCCACATCTGGTTTTGATCGCTTCAAGTTTTTAAGCGTACTTTTCTTAGAAGATAAAATGGCAGGTATGTAATTGGACTGTGAAGTTAGGGACCTCAATGTGGGTTTTGTCCTCTATTTTACAGGCAGAGCATGACTTAAACAGAACTGCTCTTTACATATTACTCCCCTCCTCTGCTAATCTTTTCCTTCTTCCTTCTCGTCTTTCATTCCTCCTTGCTGCTACCAAGATGCAGCTGTTTAAGATTTCCAATTCCCAATCCAATCCCTGAGATGTATTTCTCCCTCCCACCACAGGCACATCACAGTGTGTGTGTGTGTGTGTGTGTGTGTGTGTGTGTGTGGAGGTGGGGACATCACAGTGTGTGTGTGTGTGTGTGTGTGTGTGTGTGTGTGGAGGTGGGGGGTGTTTGCAGGGAGAGATCCTTTCCTTCTGCCTCAATTAGGCACTACCTAGCCACAGCTCCTTCCTCAGAGTCTCCTGACCCTCTGTCACCAACATCAAAGCCAAAGGAAAGGGGGAGGCAACAACACCTTATTACAACTGTGAGAACTCCATTCAGTTTTCCTTTGCCCTCCAACCCCTTCAGCAGCAACAAAGGAGCAAGGAGAGGGAACAGAAAGAAACAAATGACATCTTACAGGCATTTCCCATCACACTTAGAAAGCCCCAGAAGGCCCCCATAATCCCTCTTGTCACCTCTGCAACCTCAGTGATTCAGGGCCCAAGAGCTCAACTCTCCCCAGCCTCTCAGCCTAAAACCTTGGAAAGTGACGAGGGGAGTCTGCCTGCCCATGTCCCAGCAAGGAAGGTGTGCAGTGTTGGGGATGGAGGTGGGACACAGACACACCTGCACATCTGTACTTTCCTGTGGCAACTCTGTTATATATGAACATTTGGTTTTATGGTGGTTTAAGCGATCATTTTACTTCACATACATGATGGGCTGTATAGATCTTGTGTAGTTCGATTCAGAAATGCAACCAAGATGCATATTAGAGTTCCAAAAACCAGTATACCAAGTAACTTTTGGAAAAGTTCCATTCACAGTTTGGGTACTGCCTGCATTTGGAAAAGCTAAGAGGTTTTAAACATATGGCATAAGAACAGTATTTACTTGTACAATTCCCAGGGCAAAAAATTAGTTAAAAGAACACTGAGCATTGCTCTTTCATATACAAGAAGAAATATATCAAGTAATATCAATAATATAAGTCCCTGTCTAGGAACTGTGAGGATTTGAAATTGTAAAACATAATCAGGCCTTGAGCAGGGGAAAATACAATAAAAGAACATATAATATTTAGTTAAAAGTTCAGTGAAAGAAAGACTGAGAAAATAAGTAATGAACTGCTGGGTGTATGGTTCAGTCATTTGGGCAGAGGGCCTCTGTTGGCAGGAGGTCTCTGGCAGTGGAGGTAAAATTTATCCCTCTGCTTTGTATTGATCACACTCTTCTTTGCCAGCCCTCCGCCAAGAAGATGTCTGAGGACCCCCAACTACAGCAGCTGTTCTGTGTTTACATATAGAATCCTGTATAAGGGCTGCTGACCTTACATATGGTGTCCAACGACAAAAGAAAATTTCTGCCTGACTAATCATATTCGTATTGTTCATAAGTGGCATTGGAGCTCTATTTTCCTCGTTGCTTAAAGTTGAATTTTATAAAACAGAATCCTTTTTTGATTTCCTTTCTTTTAATGATTTTTTTCTTGGTCTTGTTTTCTTTTTTTCCCCTTTATTAATTTTTTTGGGAGGGAGGTAATTAGATTTATTTATTTATTTGTCTATTTTTAATAGAGGTACTGGGGATTGAACCAAAGACCTTGTGCATGCTAAGCATGCACTCTACCACTGTGCTATACCCCTTCTCTCATTCAGTTTCCACTTATTTCTAAAAATTCATCTAACTTTGATATAATCCCTGTATAGAAATTAATTCTAGAGATTCATTTCCAGGCTTATCCAAATGATACATACTCTATATGAGGACTATAGATATCTCCCAAAAAAA